CCGGTTGATAAGACAGTGCTGGCTAATGAGCAGGTGGGTGTTATGGCTTGGTTTACACACGGGATTCAAATGGCTCACTCTTGGTGCAGGTCGATGCCAATGGCTTCTCTTGGCGCTCGGGAGCAAAGGTCGAGAAGCTGAAGCTGAAGCAATGGTTCTTCCGTATCACGGATTTCAAGGAAATGCTTCTGAAGGATCTTGACTCTTTGGCGGGCGGCTGGCCGGAGCGTGTCCTTTCCATGCAGCGGAACTGGCTTGGAAAATCGCAGGGTGCCAAGATCAAGTTCCCTGTGGCTGTCAATGGCAATAATGGCACAGACATCGATATCAATGTTTTCACCACGCGACCAGATACTCTTTACGGAGTCGAGTACCTCGCTCTTTCTCTGGATCATCCTATTGTCCTGGAGGCAGCGGAGACGGATCCGGAACTGCGCAAATTCCTGGATACTGCCGCGTCGCTTCCGCCTGATTCCAAGGCTGGCTACAAATTATCCAGTGTCACTGCTTCTCACCCTCTACATGTTATTGACAAGGAGAGCCCCCATGTCGCCCGTCAGCTGCCCGTATTCGCAGCACCCTACGTCCTTAGCGACTACGGCGAGGGCGCAGTGATGGGAGTCCCAGGCCATGACGCCAGAGACCTTGCATTTTTCAGAGATAATGTGAACCCCGATTCCATACCCGTTGTCGTTGGACCCAAAGGGGAAGCCGGGGCAGACGGCGGTGATGCGAGCATTGCTCCCCCCGCGGATGCAAAGGCATATACGCAAGAAGGGTATCTAAACTCTTTGTGCTGGAAGTACGAGGGTCTCCACTCTAGCGAGGCAAAAAAGCAGATTGTCACCGATCTGAAACAGGTCGGACGCGGTGATTTTGTCGAACAATGGAGGCTTAGAGACTGGTTGATCAGCCGACAGCGCTACTGGGGAGCTCCCATCCCTATCATCCACTGCGGTGATTGCGGCCCTGTACCTGTGCCAGATGACCAGCTCCCTGTCAAGCTGCCCAAGATTGAAGGGGACTGGCTAAAGGGTAAGAGAGGAAACCCTCTCGAGTCATCCCATGAGTGGGTGAATACGAAATGTCCGAGCTGTGGCGGGCATGCTAAGCGGGATACGGACACCATGGACACCTTTGTCGACTCTTCATGGTACTTCCTCCGGTTCTTGGACCCGAAGAACAAGGCACAGCCGTTTTCGCCGTCAGCGGCACGCCCGGTCGATGTCTACATTGGCGGTGTTGAGCATGCGATCTTGCACCTGCTTTACGCCCGATTCATCTACAAGTTCCTTTCCCAATCCGAATTGTTCCCGGAAATCGCCCGAGCTGGAAATGTCGCGACGCCGTTTGAACCATTCAAGACTCTCCTCTCCCAAGGTATGGTCCACGGCAAGACGTATTCGGAGCCGTCTACGGGGAGATTCCTGCTCCCCTCCGAAGTGGATCTTTCCAGCCCCGACAAGCCACTGATCAAGGGCACCCAGATCACGCCCAATGTGTCCTTTGAGAAGATGTCCAAGAGCAAGCACAACGGAGTCGATCCGACCGGCTGTGCACTGAAATACGGCGCCGATACCACTCGCGCCCATGTCCTTTTCTCGGCTCCGGTCAGTGAGGTGCTCGAATGGGACGAAACGAAGATCGTGGGCATTGAGCGCTGGTTTGGTCGACTCTGGAAGTTGGTGAACGATGCGCAGCAGAGCCTGGCTTCGTCCTCGTTTACACTGCAGCCAGCCGACTTGGAGGCCTCCTCCGGCCACGCGACCGGCTTGCCCAGCTCTCTACAGGATCTGAGCGACAGCGATGCGGATGCTGTGCTTGCCACCCACCGCACCATTTCCTCCGTCACCAGCTGTATTGAGAAAAATCCATACGGGCTGAACACAGTCATCTCCGACCTGACCAAGTTGACCAACTCGTTGTCGTCGTTGACGCCCACTTCGCCGCAGGTCCTCTACCTATCTATTTCTTCCCTGCTCCGGCTGCTTTCGCCGATCGCGCCCGCGCTGGCGTCCGAGTGTTGGGAGATCCTCAATGGTCCCGTGACTGCGGGGAAGCCATCCACCACCACCAATGTCCCCGCCATCCTTGACTGTCCCTGGCCAACTCCTCTGCTGAAGCCCGAGGAGGCCGACATTCTGTCTGCCCGCGGTGGCCAAGTGGTCGCCGTCCAGATCAATGGCAAGTTGCGATTTACAATCACGATCCCTCGGCGTCTTTCCCCCACGACCGCGCCCGAACCTAGCGGTACGGTCACGGAGGAACAAGACTGGATTATCAACCGGATCTTGGAGACGGACGAAGGACAATTCTGGCTGCGAAAGAAGAACGATTGGGAGAAGCGTAGACGGGTGATTGTCGTCAAGGGCGGCAAGTTGGTCAATGTGGTGTTTTAGCGCTCAGGGCCGCCCTACAGTGTCCGGAATTTCGGGCTGTTGTAAAGAAAAATTAATCCTCCCCTGGGGGAGCGCGCATGTAACTATAGACCCATGCATGTATATTAGACGAAAGGCAACAAGGCCAAAAAATAAAGTAACCATCTCCTCTGAGACACTGACGATCGCGACAATATTTGATAGGCCTAACCCGCGAAGCCATTCAACCAGTCAGTGTGTATATGCGCATAGTTGGTACCTTGGCCAACAAAACAGAAGTTTTTGGAAATTGGGAGGCCGTTCGCCCGCCCGACGATAGGCGCGCATTTCCTATTTTTCGATCAGTCGAGCTCCGTGAGGCCGGAAGCCGTGGCTAAACTACCCAACAACTGGTAGTATTTTCCTACCCCTCAAAAGTTTGGGCCAACGAGGGTTCCATCGCGTGATGTGGCCGGAAAGGCGATACGCCGTTCCAAAGTGAGGAGGTAGTGGAGCCGGGCTTCCCCTCATAGACGCGCCTCCCCCAAGGTAGTGGTGGTGGTGATGTATTTCTGACACTTGACAACACTTGACAGGTGGATCTGACTCTGCCTTGTCTTCCTTCCATCTTGTTGTGATGGCATTGTTCACGGTCGCGCAGGGGCACCCATGGTCCGGCTGAAACACGGGAATCGCTCGGTGCTTGGATTTCAAGTTGTTCCAAGATGGAAGCAACTTTTTGGGGGAGTGGACGGACGGGCGGGTTTATCTGCGGAGAGACGAGCTTTTGAGAGCAAGTCGCATAAGTCGAATTCTGGTCCCCTCATGTCAATTCTCTCTCAATTTGGACAGATTAGAGAGACCTGGCTAGACTGAGATAGATAGATCACGCTATCAACGGCACCTGGGATTCCGAGTCTCGGGTAGATTGAGTAGTCGTAACAGCAGCAAGCAGCAATTCGACTTAGTCTCCCAGTCGGTGGGATGGATGGCCATGCCGGTTCCTATTAGTTTGTCTGTTTGGCTGTTCCCAATTGAGATGAGGGGTTACCCCTCATGCAGCGTTGCCACTAGTCTAAATATGGACTAGTGGCAATGCAGAGATAACCCCTCGTGAGGGGGAATAACAGCTATTCCAATCGGGAAAAGAAGTCAGCAGAAGCAGTAATTCTGTCCGCAGACATCGGTGGATACACTAAATGGCAGGAGTGGATAGCAAGAGAATTGACTGAATTGAGCTAAAAGATCCTCCCTCAACGATACCCGTAGGAAAGGAAGGTCCATTTGGCCATTGTCACTTGCGGATGACAGACAGGCTGGCAGGTTTTCCGTTTCCCCATGGAAACTCTACGCCCGACATACCTCCGGCCCTGCAGGCACTCTCGGCCCAGGCTCGGGTTCCCCTCACGAGCCCATTAAGCATGCCATGCCATTTCTTTTTACCCGATAGTTTCTAGATTTCTGAAACCCCGCATGACCGTGGGCAATCCCCTGCAGTAGGACATATGTTGGGATGGCAATTAATCCGTGACCGAGATTGGGGTTATACAATCAATAGTATTGTTGTATTGGTTTTCAGTTGCTTTACCGCTATGATACCACTGCTTGCATTTTCCAATTAAGGCTCATCTACTAAGTAGTTTAGTAGTTCAATACAAACTAACTAGTATACTCCGTAATGTGTCAACTGCCCGAGGTGTGGATTTCAAGCTTTCGACGGTATCGATCTATACAAACCTAACCCAGAGCCATCCGACCATCCGCGGCTGTCTATGTGCTACTAGACTAGTTTACAGTAGTAGTTGTCCCGCGTGCGGAGACAACAACTGGACCGAAACGTCGTCCGTGCCGATGCGAAACTGCCGCCAACCCGGACGATCGCCCAACTTCAATTGCTGGCTGGTGGGGTTCCAGTTCCTTGCTCCAATTCTCGGGGCTGATTTGAGGGTCCCAAACTATCCCCCCCCTCTCCTGCCACTTTCTGGGTCAGACCCAGATGATGGCCTTGTGCTACTACTGCCTGCTTGGTGCCCTCCTATCCGGATTTGGCGCCATCCTATCGCAGATGTGGATGGAGCACCCTTTCTGAATATGGGCCAAGAGGGGATGGAGGGGGGGCAATTGTGGTGCTCACTTACATAGTACTGAATAAAAAAAGAGGACCCAGTGAAGTCTATATATTTGGCTAAATTCCCCGTCCTTGTCAGTCTCATTCCATCCTCATCTCTCTACATCTGCATCTCATCACATCACAACTTGTCTCCTCATCATACTTCGCTCATCCCTCTCCAAGGTTTCTTGAAACTCCACCGCCGCTTTCGGTAAGCCACCCCTGCATCATCATCCTCCATCTGGCATCGGCTCTGCCCTGTGGCATGCTTGCCTGCCATCCATAGTTGCTTCTCCACACATGCTTTCTGGTCTCCCCGCTTCCCCTTGTTCGCCGTTGCTACTGTTGTTGCTTGCCGCTCATTCGGCTTCCCCGACTTTGCAATCCGATGCATCTACTACTACTTCCCACGTTCTCCAAATCCGGGATGTATTTAAACCTCAAGCTGACCCTCCTGCCATAGGTATTTTACCAGCATCCAACTCTCCCATCTCTAAATCATCTCATCTCATTTCACTTAACTTATCTTCACAATGGTATTTATGCGCTCTTTCTCCCGCCAACTTCGGCGACCTGCCACCTCCCTTCTGTCCAAGGGAGCCTTCGCGCCCGCGGCCAGTAGCCCATTCCGGGCTGCTCCTCTGGCTAACTCGATCGCTGGTGCACGTACGCTAACCGCCTCCGCGAATCTACAGGGCAAGATTCTTATGGTCCTCTATGACGTAAGTACCCGAATAGCATCACTTTCTTCTGCTCGCAAATCACCAGATACTAACCATCTCCAAATAGGGCGGTGAGCACGCCAAGCAGCAGCCCGGTCTTCTGGGTACCACTGAGAACGAGCTCGGCTTGAGGAAGTGGCTCGAGGAGCAGGGTCACACCCTGGTCACCACCTCCGACAAGGAGGGCGAGAACTCGACCTTCGACAAGGAGCTCGTTGACGCTGAAGTCATCATCACCACTCCGTATGTGACCCACTTCACTACCCACAGTTATCCGCCCAGGGAACTTGGCAACTACGGAAACTAAATAGCTGACTGGTTGCCCGCAATAGCTTCCACCCCGGTTACCTCACTGCTGAGCGTCTGGCCAAGGCCAAGAACCTCAAGATCGCCGTCACTGCTGGTGTCGGTTCCGACCACGTCGACCTGAACGCTGCCAACAAGACCAATGGCGGTATCACCGTCGCCGAGGTCACCGGCTGCAACGTCGTCTCCGTCGCTGAGCACGTTGTCATGACCATCCTGACCCTGGTCCGCAACTTCGTTCCCGCCCACGAGCAGATCCGCCGCGGCGAGTGGGACGTTGCCGCTGTCGCTAAGAACGAGTTCGACCTCGAGGGCAAGGTCGTCGGTACCGTTGCCGTCGGCCGTATCGGTGAGCGTGTCCTCCGCCGTCTCAAGCCCTTCGACTGCAAGGAGCTCCTCTACTACGACTACCAGCCCCTTTCCCCCGAGGTTGAGAAGGAGATCGGCTGCCGCCGCGTCGACGACCTCGAGGAGATGCTCGCTCAGTGCGATGTTGTCACCATCAACTGCCCCCTGCACGAGAAGACCCGCGGTCTGTTCAACAAGGAGCTCATCTCCAAGATGAAGAAGGGCTCTTGGCTCGTCAACACCGCTCGTGGTGCCATCGTTGTCAAGGAGGATGTCGCCGAGGCCGTCAAGTCTGGCCACCTCCGCGGATACGGTGGTGATGTCTGGTTCCCCCAGCCCGCCCCCGCCGACCACCCTCTGCGCACCGTCCAGGGCCCCTGGGGCGGCGGCAACGCCATGGTTCCTCACATGTCCGGTACCTCCATTGATGCCCAGATCCGTTACGCCAACGGTACCAAGGCTATCCTCGAGAGCTACTTCTCCGGCCGCCACGACTACCGCCCCCAGGATCTCATTGTCCACGGCGGTGACTACGTTACCAAGGCCTACGGTCAGCGCAACAAGGCCTAAATGGAAGACGATGATGATGAGATGCATGGATCGATCTGTATTCGGCCTATTTCCTCCCGTTATGATTAGCTTATGATACCTGAAATCAAAACTTTTTCTTACTGTTCAAACCTTTTACTCTTCCAATTTGTCTCACTAACGTAGACTCGTAACTCTTCGGACTCTCCCCGCGATCATCCAGCGCCAACACCGCACTCCAGCCAGACTAATAGTCAATAAAACCCCCCCCCAAAAACCAAAACCAATCCAGTCGGCAAACTCAACAATGGACTCGTATCGAACACCAGCTCGTCATTTTAGTCCAACATTTTTCATCATTACCATATTCAAACCCACAAATTACTCCCCACCAAGCAAAAGATAAAAGCAGATAGTGGGGCGCCGATCCCCCCCAAAGCACAAAGCTTGACCACAGCAAACTTCCCAGCACTAGCAGGCCAGAACCACGGACCAACCTCTGATTTAGTGGAAGACTAGTATACACATTACGATTTTTTAGCTCTATGATTATTGTTTGCTCTGGTAGTGATATTTGAGTTTGCATAGTTTCGGATGATATACTCTTGTTGGTTTAGTGATCTGCTCTTTTCTTTCTATTTCCCTTGTGTTATGGGTTTGATTAGGTCGGGATGGGTTCGGCTGGGGGATCTAGGTTAGTTAGTAGTTGCTTGTGAAGGGAATTAGGGTATGTACAGTAGTACCTTCTTCTTTGGGTTGTTTGTTTGGGGTTAATTTGATTGATGGGGGTTTGGAGAATTGAGTTACGACGTGGGGTTGGTGACGAAGTAAGGGGTTGTTGGTAGTCCGGACGGACGGAGTTGATATTCCATTGTGGTGATTATCAGTGCATGCATTGGTCTAGGTATGTACGCATGCAGGTAGTTTGGTAGTGCCCATTGAGTTTATCTCGACGGACATGCATTGGGCTCTATCTGTACTACCGCAAAGGTGAATTCAGCAAGAGTAGATGTCTATTATATTTATTACCCATCCCAAACGCCAATGGTTCCTTACATGATAGTGTAATATGTACAGAAGGAACGAACTCAGCGACGTGACTGAGAATGGGCATGTCCCTCGTCATCATCACTATCATCCATGAACCCCGCTTCGAGTTCACGACTCAAGCGACTCTCCGCATCCCCGGCGGTGCTCCGTCGACGCTCGAGCGCTTCTCGCCGTGAAGGGTCCATGTCCATCCCTACCATGATCTCTCCTTCTTCATCGTATATACTGATGTTGTCGTGCTGGTCGAATTGTGATTGTCGCCAGACCGACGGAAGGAATCGTCGCATCAAAGCATCCGCGATACGATCCCGGAGTGTTGTAGTATGTGCGGAGATAGTATGGAGCGGAAGGTACTGGGAGTATCGTTGATGATAGCGACGGAAGAAGGGGATGATCACGAAGGAGAACAGGAGGTAGAGCGTCAGGGAGATCACGGCGGGGATGATGATGGTCTGAGTAGAAAGTGTCAGTTAGAAGAAATTCGGAAGAATCAGGAGAGTTCGAGAGAGGGCATACTTTGGCAAAGTTAGTTGCGGAACCCATCGTGGCGTGTGGTGCTCAGCGCCTTTCCTGTAACGATCTTGATCTCGAGAATGCGCGGCCAAGGCAGCAGCGGAAAGGAAGTAGATAGACAGGCGCCAAACACACGGCGCCAAATCAATCCAATAAGCCCCGATTAACAACGAAAACTCGCCATGACCTGTGACGGCGCTTAGAGTTGTCCAATGTGACTGGCAGGCTGACCGTCACCCGACGCTGAGTTACCAGTTGGTCTTCTGCAGCAACGGCAGCAATCCGGGGTCTGCCCTGAATCTGACACTGACAGCATCTCCGAGAGTCTCCGGCATGAGACAGCTCCACGTGATCGGAGATGGAGGGCCAGTTTCCTGAGGCATGCATGGTGTAATTCACGTGACACCTCCGGCCCCTACCGCGTTCTAGAGCCGCCTCAAGTGGTGCTGCCCCCCCTGATGCCCGTGCTTCCACGACCTGACGTGCAAAAAGACTCCAGCCACTAAAGCCCGATCCTGGGATTTGCCAGAGTAGGATAGCCCTACTGGGAGCCGTCATTACAGACCGCTCCTTTGACTCTCATATCTTCAAGTCACCTTCTCCATCTGTTTGTTGGGAGAAGCGTCCGTCTTTGGTGGCATCCTTTCCCCCCCCCCCTCGTGCCAACGCTGCTCCGCAGCGGCTATTAATTAGTGTTAGTCAGGAGTGTCCGGAATAAGTTGTCGCCTTGAGCTGGATGTGATCCTGGCCTTCGCAGAGATTGAGAGCGACCGATTCTTCTCAATCTACAGCCTCCGACGACTGTCTGCCACCTCAACGCTCTTGCCCCAGCGGATTACGCTCATGCTGCGCCCTGCATCTCCCCAGCGACGTCCGTCAAGATGCCAACCACCACGTCCGCGCCTGACAAATCGAGACAGACTTCCGCTGGGAAATCGTTCTTCGGGAGGAAGCTGCACAAGGAGAAACCGGTAGACGATCGCCACGATGCCCATACAGGCTTCGAGACCCTCGCGCCTCCTGGAAGCGCCCCGGGTTCTCGTTCCTCTCGCCATTCCAAGCGATCCTCCGTCCAGTCTATGGATTTTTCCAACGACATCGATCCTGCAACGCTGTCAATGACGGCCGGTGTGATTACCTCTATCCCCTATGAAAGTCTCCCCGCCGACACCAAGTCGCCGATTCCTATCGACTATCTCTCTAAAGCCGAAACCTCGCCACGCAAAGAACCATCCCCGAATCATCTTGCCAAGGGAGGCAGTGATTTCCATCAGTATCCCGCTTGGAACCCGGCCACTATCCGGGACAATAATGTTTATTCTCACCCCACCGGCCCTCGTCCGCCGCCACATGCGTCTAATGTAACAATGGCGGGAAGCTCTTCGGGGGACAAAGGTGCTCGGTATCAACAATGGGGACGACCGGGTAGCTCGGCTGCCAACACGGGGTTCAGTCACAACTCTTCATCTACGGTAGATTCCTCGTCGCATTCCCGAATATCGTTCGACCAAGCTAGTGTCCACTCTTCACTTTCCTCCAACACCCGGGACACTAGAGGTTCGAGCTATTTTTCGTCGGACGGATCTTCTCGAACACTAACAACCTCGCACTCTGCCGACCGCAATACCTACTCATCTAATGGAACCTCTAGCCGACTCTCTAATGCGCAGGCTGCGTGGCAGTCGGCCCAGCCCGCGCAACCCGCGAAGTTACCAGCCAACCCCGAGCAATACCTGACACGTCCAAGGGACGATCGGATTGTGGACCAGCTTTTCCTGGAATTGATGCAGAAGCGAGGTTGGCAGAACTTGCCTGAGCAGGCCAAACGGCAGATGCTTGCGTATCCAGCCTCGAAAAAGTGGACGCTGGTTCATCAAGATCGGTTGACGGAAATTCAAGGCGAACAGAAGCGCAGGCAGAATGCCCGGCAGACCCATGGTCACGATGGGCCGTCGGGGATTCTGGAGCGGGCCGATGAAGAGGGAAGCCCGGAGTGGTACGTGAAGAAGGTTATGGATGATTCAATCACGTCGAAACAATTAGCTAGTTTGAGCGTCAGTCTGCGCACACAACCAATCAGTTGGGTGAAAGCCTTTGTCGAAGCACAAGGCCAAATCGCCCTGACCAACGTTCTTGCTAAGATCAACCGGAGGAAAGCTTCAGGTCCTGTTCCCGCACCCCCGACTGGTGACAAGGACTTGGATCGTGAATACGATATTGTCAAGTGCCTGAAGGCTTTGATGAACAACAAATATGGCGCAGATGATGCCCTCGCTCATCAGCAGGTTATTGTTGCGCTCGTCAGCTCGCTGCTGTCTCCCCGATTAAATACAAGGAAGCTTGTCAGTGAAGTCTTGACCTTCCTTTGCCATTGGGCAGAAGGCCAGGGCCATCAAAAGGTCCTCCAGGCTATGGACCATGTGAAGAACCACCATGGAGAGACTGGTCGCTTTGATGCCTGGATGCGTATCGTCGAAGTGACGATCGATGGCCGTGGAAAGATGGGTAGTTTGGTGGGCGCGAGTGAGGAGTACCGCAGTGGTGGTATAGGCATGGAGAACCTTCTCATGGAGTATGCCGTCTCAACCATGCTCCTCATCAACATGTTGGTGGACGCCCCGGAGAACGATCTACAGCTGCGCTGTCATATTCGTGCGCAGTTCACCTCTTGCGGCATCAAGCGTCTCATGACTAAAATGGAAGGTTTCCAATATGAGGTCATTGACAAGCAGATTGAGCGCTTCCGCGAGAATGAGGCCATCGACTACGAGGATCTTCTGCAGCGTGAGAGTAGCAGCGTGAAGGATAGCATCGAGGGCGAGGTCAAAGACATGAACGATCCTCTACAAATTACAGACGCTATTGCTTCAAGGATTACAGGTACTCGAGCTCATGACTACTTCCTCTCTGCTATGCAGCACATGCTTCTTATCCGGGAGAACTCAGGTGAAGATGGTCTCCGGATGTATCAGCTCGTCGATGCCATGCTTAGCTACGTGGCCATGGACCGCAGGCTACCCGATCTGGATCTCCGCCAAGGTTTAACATTTACCGTGCAGAGCCTCTTGGACAAATTACATACAGATTCAGAGGCAAGACAGGCGTACGATGAATCCCTAGAAGCGCGCCAGATTGCGGAGGCTGCTTTGGCAGAGCGAGATGAGATGAAGGCGCAGATTGAGCTGGGTGCAGACGGCCTAGTAAAGAAGTTGCAGAAGCAAATTGAAGAGCAGACTGGCATCATCGAACTTCAACGGAGACGGGAGGAGTCAGTACGGGCTGAGCTGGCCGATGTTCAACGCTTGCGTGCTCAGGAGTTGCAACGGAACGAACTGGAAACCAGAGAGCTCTACCTGATGCTTCGAGATGCCCAGGACATCGCTGCTTCAAATGCCAAGAAGAACAACCTCGCAGAAGTCGATCCGTCCCATATGAGGGGCATCATGGACCGCGAAAAGCTCCTCGAGCGGTTGGAGATGCAACTCGAACGCACCAAGACCCAGTTCAAGTTGGAGGGCAAGGTATGGGGTCAACATGTGACCTCAGACCGGCTGCGCGAACTTCGTGAGCAAATGGACGGCGATTTTGAGCCGCAAGATGGGTTCCAGGACCAGGCTCATCACGTTGCGGGCTTGGGATCTGTTCAGCGCAAGCGCAGCCATCTGCCCGGCATGGAGAAGGATACTGTCGAGGGTCAGCAGCAGGAGGGCCAGGTGGACGAGAACGGAGAGATCATTTATGAAAAGGCGCGTCTGGTCGACCTCCATCGGCCACGACTCAACCCTAAGCAGGCGAACGGCCTCCTGGGAGAAATTGCCTCGAAGGTACCTAAGATCGACGCAGACGATAACGAAGCTATACCTGTTGTCCCCGAAGCCACGGCGCCTGTCACCGACGAACCCAAGGTTGAGAGTGAAATTGAGAAGCCCGAGGCCAAGGGGGCGCCCGCTCCACCCCCGCCGCCGCCGCCACCACCACCACCTCCTCCTCCAGGAGCTGTGGGAATTCCTCCTCCGCCCCCTCCCCCTCCACCGCCACCACCTGGTGGTGCTGTCGGAATCCCTCCCCCTCCGCCGCCGCCTCCTCCGCCGCCGCCGGGAGGAAAGGTTGGAATCCCCCCTCCACCTCCGCCGCCCCCTCCTCCAGGCGGTGCAGGATTCCCGCCACCGCCTCCCCCTCCACCAGGTGCTTCATTTGGTGCCCCTCCTCCCCCGCCTCCTCCTGGCGCAGGCTTTGGCGGATGGCGAGCCAACTACATGGCCTCTCAAGCCCTTCCTCAACACAAGACAGCTCTTATGCCCTCTATCCGGCCAAAGAAGAAGCTCAAGGCTCTTCACTGGGAGAAGGTTGATGCTCCACAGGTAACGGTATGGGCGGCCCACGCTCCCACTGCGCAGGAGAAAGAAGAGAAATATGTGGAGTTGGCTAAGAAGGGTGTGTTGGATGAGGTTGAGAGACTCTTCATGGCGAAGGAGACCAAGATCTTTGGAGGCAATGCAGCAGCCAAGCAGCGCAAGGACAAGAAACAGCTCATCTCCAACGAGCTGTCCAAGAACTTCCAGATCGCAATGGCCAAGTTTTCGCAATTCCCTGCCGACGATGTGGTGCGCATGATCATCCATTGCGATACAGACATTCTGGACAACCAGGTCGTCATGGAGTTCCTGCAGCGGGACGAGATGTGCACAATTCCGGAGAATATTTCCAAGTCGATGGCGCCCTACAGCAGGGACTGGACCGGCCCCGATGCTGCTAGTGCGGAGCGAGAGCAAGACCCCAACGAGCTTACGAGGGAAGATCAGATCTACCTATACACCGCGTACGAGCTCAACCACTACTGGAAGGCGAGAATGCGCGCTCTCGCGTTAACTCGGTCCTTCGAAGTGGATTATGAGCACATCTCCGCCAAGCTGCAACAAGTGGTCAAGGTCAGCGAATCTCTGAGAGACTCTGTTTCTCTGATGAACGTCCTGGGTCTCATTCTGGACATTGGTAACTTCATGAACGATGCCAACAAGCAGGCTCAAGGA